CCATTGCAGTTTTGCGAAAAACACCAATTTCGATACGGCTGAAAAACCACCTCATCCTAGCGCAAAAATATTTTGTTGAAAAACGTAATTTTCTTCAAAATTGACATGTTTCTATTGAGCAAATTTATTTTCGACATTCTAATTTGCGCATTTTCATGGTCAATGGAAACGCAGCTACAGGCTCTGATAATGAGATGGAGTTTTTTACAGCTGAAGAATAAAGATTTTTAACAGAGAATTCACTTGGTATTCTGTGCTTCTAATTTTTGATCACGTTTTCTTACAGTACAATTAAAAACAAGTAGAAAAAGGTAGTTTGTAAGCAAAGTGTTGCAAGATTAAAACAACTATTTCTTCTTCTGAATTGATGTACTCTCTGTAGGTGCTCTGGCTGAATGGTTGGCAGATCACCCAGTAATGCTCAGTAGTGTCCTGCCTTTGGTGTTACAAGCATTGGGCAACTCAGACCTTTCTGTTTCTTCTGTCTCAACGCTCAAGAAAATTTGCAGGGAATGCAAATATGACTTGCCACCTTACGCAACCAACATCGTAGCAGTTTCTCAGGTATCTTTACATTCACATTTATTAGGCTTTAAAATAATTTCAGTTGTTTATTTGGAGTACATTTTCATCATTTCTTTGTTGTGCCCTCACTCTTACGCTTTTTTTCTTTTTTCTTTCAAGGAGGTGCTCATAAAACAAATCCACAAGGTTAGTTTTTCTCATCCTTAGACAGTGGTGTGAAAAAGTGATTGATTTTTTATTCTTTTATATATTTGTCACACTTAAATGTTTACGATCACCAAAGAATTTTRAATATGAGACAAAGATAACAAGTAAAAGTTCAGTTCATAAATGGAGGTTTTTTTTATTAAGGTGAAAATAAATCCTAACATACAGGGCCCTGAGGGAAAACGTAAATGCCCCCTAAACCTAAATTTCCTGATTTACCTTTATAAATCTTTGATTGTTTGGACAAAAGAAATCAGTTAAATATATCATATAGGGCAGTGGTTCCCAAACTTTAGCTTCTGACCCACAAAATTACTGTAGCAAAGACCTGTGCCCACAACTATTTTTGGATGATAAACATTTGTATCAGGTCAACTAAACATGAGCATAGTAACAATATTAATTACTCTTCATTTATACATTTTAGGCAACTAAGGCAAAAATGTAATTAATTTAGAAAATCTTTTCAGGACCCCACTTTGGGTCCCAACCCCAACTTTGGGAACCACTGGTCTAAAATTACGCAAACATTATAGTTTTAGACACATCACTTAAAGGCACAGTGTGTAGGATTTTGT